CCTATATTTGGATATCGGAAGTGTTCCGGGTGAAATCAGGATTTTACCGGAGTACCGGGAGGTTACCGGAACCCCCCGGGAGGTAAATGGGCCTTAGTGGGTTTTAGTGGAAGAGAGGAGAGGTGGCCAGGGCTGGGCCGCGCGCCCCTCCCCCCCTAGTCCGAATTGGACAAGGAGAGGGGGGCGGCGCCCCCCCTTCCTTCTCTCTCTCCTCTTTCCCCCTCCCGAATCCTATTCCAACTAGGAAAGGGGGGGGGGAATCCTACTCCCGGTGGGAGTAGGACTCCTCCTGGCGCGCCCTCCTCCTGGCCGGCCGCACCCCCTTGCTCCTTTATATACGGGGGCAGGGGGGCACCTCTAGACACACAAGTTGATCTTCGTGATCGTTCCTTAGCCGTGTGCGGTGCCCCCCTCCACCATATTCCACCTCGGTCATATTGTAGCGGTGCTTAGGCGAAGCCCTGCGACGGTAGAACATCAAGATCGTCACCACGCCGTCGTGCTGACGGAACTCCTCCCCGACGCTTTGCTGGATCGGAGCCCGGAGATCGTCATTGAGCTGAACGTGTGCCAAGAACTCGGAGGTGCCGGAGTAACGGTGCTTGGATCGGTCGGATCGGGAAGACGTACGACTACTTCCTCTACGTTGCGTCAACGCTTCCGCTTCGGTCTACGAGGGTACGTAGACAACACTCTCCTCTCTCGTTGCTATGCATCACCATGATCTTGCGTGTGCGTAGGATTTTTTTTGAAATTACTACGTTTCCCAACAGAATGGATTAGTGCATTGTTATTACACTTTAAGAAGAGAGAAAGGAAAAAAATCTAAAACAAGCAATGACAATATCTGCACAAAGTTTACACAAAAATTATGTTTTTTAATATGCAAGAATAAGTATATAGTAGTGAAAATTCGCAAAAAAGTAAGTTTCCCAAGAATGAATGAATTAGTGCCATTTGTATTACCCTTAAAGAAGAAAATAAATGAAACTAAACTAAAACAAAATCATAGTGAAGTTTTCTAGGGAAGAATGAATTACTAGCTTCTGTATTACCCTTTAAGAAGAAATAAAATGAAATAAAGCTAAGAAAATCAAAATAAGGAAGTTTCACAAGGAAGAATGAATTGAGTGCATTGGTATTACCCTTTAAGATGAAAGAAAAATAAAATGAGAATGAAAACATAATCAAACAATGAACTTTTCTAAGAAAGAATGAATTAGTGGCTTGGTATTACCCTTTAAGAAGAATAAAATAGAATAAAGCTAAAGAGTCAAAATAATGAAGTTTCCTAAGGACGAATGAATTAAGTGCATTGGTATTACCCTTGAAGAAGAATAAAACAAAATAAAGCTAAAAATCAAAATAATGAAGTTCCCTAAGGAAGAATGAATTAAGTGCATTCGTATTACCATTTAAGAAGATAGAAAATAAAATTAAGAAACATAATCAAAACAATAAAGTTTTCTAATAAAGAATGAATTAGTTACTTGGTATTACCCTTTAAGAAGAAACAAAATTAAATATAAATAAAACATAATCAAAATAATAAAGATTCCTAAAGAAGATTTAATTAGTGACATTGGTATTATCTTTTAAGAGAAAAACAGTGACAGAATTTACACACAGTATAAGATGACAAAAGAAGAAACTACACAAAAAGAGAGCATGAATCTTGACACAAAGAATGGACGAAGAAAGATTCGATTGGCCCAAATTTAAAAAGTAGGCAACTTACATATCGTTAATGTGAAAAATCCAGGCACCGTCTAACAACAAAATAGACAAAAAAATAACAATGTGGGAGATTAATCATCTCTCGACACGTCGAAGATGAATTTGCATGAGTGCGCATGCACGCACACACATCTAAACACATAAGAAAAAACTTAACAAACACGCAAAAAGAGCGTGAACAAAACAGAAGAAAAAAAATTGACTAGAAATTTCTTTAAGAAATAAAAATACAAAAACCGAATATTGAAAATAATTTCACCTCTCAAATACAAAAAAATAAAATACATTTTATATTAATGGCATCGTCTTTCATATCTCTCTCGTGTATAAATCAACGAAAAAAATAGCACGCTATTTCGCCGTTATAGCGCGGTTATAGCGTATTAGGGAAGGCGATGCTATGTTTAGGCAAATTCGGCCGCTACAGCGCTATTTACGTGATTACCGCGCTACGCCCGCTATAACGTTGTAACTTGTAACGTTGTAGCATGCACATGATGCAAAAATAAGATAACCACAGCTCAGCAGGCCTGAAAGGCCAAAACCACCCCTCGACAACACCCTTCTCCCTCTCTTTCTCATACTCTCACATGACAAGGACCCAACGCTAGTTCTCATCCCTAGTTTATGGTTTTGACTAAGTAACTGTGTATTTGTGTGTAGCTGAGTTGTCAAGCTACAAATTTGTTCTGAATTTGTAATTGTACACAGCGGAAAACATGTAGGGAGTATAGTACTCCCTCCGTTCCATAATGTAGTGCGTATAGATTTTTGGAAAAGTCAAATATTACAAACTTTGACTAAGTTTATGAAGAAAAACATTTACATTTAGAATGCCAAACATATATTATTAGATTCATCATAAGATGTATTTTCATATTTTATATATTTGACATTGTATATATAAATAATTTTTTCTATAAACTTGGTCAAAGTTTGTAAAGTTTGACTTTATAAAAAAATCTATAGGCACTACATTATGAAACGGAGGGAGTATATATTTTGATTCTTTCTTCTCTTTGTAAAGTTTAGCTTGTGTTATACTCTTTATTGAACTGAAGCTTTGTTTATACTCTGTACTCTATGTAATTATACTGTGTACTAAACTGAAGCCTGTGTTATCTATTGTGCCACGATAGGATAACAGGCATTCCTTTTTTATGCCTTGGATTTGGCCCTTTGCATGTGTTGTTCGTCAAAATTTAGTTGCTGAAATACTTTATTTCTGAATATATTTTGCATTTTTTGCAAACGCTATTTTGAAATATAGCACGCTATTAGCGTGCTATAACTTGTGTAGCATCTGGAGAAGGGCCTCGCTATATTTTGTAGCGCGCTATTTTTTTTCATTGGTATAAATACAACACATGCTCAAGTGAACACACACATGGGCACACGGGCATAGACATGTGTGAGCAAGCACACACGCCCAACATTCACAAGCACACACGGACACATGTTACACGCCTCCATTCCCAGCATAAACGTACGTGAGCTCCTCAAGGCCACAAACACTGACAGCAGCACCAACCCGCACAAAACAGCAGTGCTGTTTATTGAGGAAAAAAAAGAACGGCCAGAAAGTTGACTGACCCAAAATGAGAAATCAGGCGACTTGCGTCTAGCTAAAGTCGATAAAAATGGTGAACGGATGAATTTTACAGATAAAATTTGCAGACCTCTCCCCACCACACTAATAAGTCAATTTGTAAACGCAAACTAGCATTGCTGTTAAATTAATAGTCGAAGCAGTTATATAAAAAGTGAGCCTGAAACAGATTAGCTTCAAACACATTACACGTGGATCGTGGATCTTAAAAGCTAGGAGTAGTGAATACTTTTGAACCGCACATGAAGCAAACTTACATAACACACAGATATGTTTTCAGACACGACGTATACAAATAAATGCAATACATAAACATATGCATGCATGTGCATGATCAAACGCATATGTAGTGAAACAACGTCAAAACGGTATCATTTTTGCGCTCGGTGTTTTCTGCGACTGTCAAAATTGTGGCGCGGTGCAAAGTTTCATGTTTTGTAAAGTGATGGTTTTCCGAGAGCTATGACGCTAAAGTGGTGGTTCTGTGCATTTTACTCGCTTACAAAGGCTAGCGGAGGTGCTACTCAGCTTATTTTCAGACCCGGGCCAACGGCCTACCACCATGTATCACTCTTAAGCCGAGTGTTATATTAAGCCAAGGACAGTAGTGCATTCACAGTGTACAAGTAAGTCAAGTGTCGCTGTTAGCTGAGGGCATCATTCGGCTTAATTTTTCACCCACGGGAGACGGCGTGCAGCCACGTGTTCACTATAAGCAGAGTACAAACATGAGCCAGGTGGTGGAGGGCCAACACGGTCTACGCGTAAGCCGAGTGGCCCCAGTCGGCTAACTTCTCGTACAATGAAGCTCTCATGTGCTGCCATGTGTCCATTGTAAGCCGAGTGCTCCTAGATAGTACTCGGCTTATACCAAATCTGGGTAGTCTCATTTGGTCCTGGGGTGCAAGCCGAGTGTTGTACTCGTCTTGTAGCCACTATTGTTTTTTTTCTTGTTGGAACAACCATGCTATTCAAACAACAAGATGCTTACATCTCCACCAAGTTCACAAGTGAACCATACATACATATCCAACAAGTTCACACATGCATACATCTCTACCAAGTTCACAACAAAAGGCATAACCAAATTCACAAACAAGTTCACATGTTCACACATGCATACATATCCAACAAAGTTTCAAATTCACACCAAGCATAACCATAAAGTTCACAACCATGAGTTCCACCGCTTAAAATTGCATGTATGCCCACCGCCGACAGCATCCGTGATGCAAACCTACAATTTCGTTATCACAAGCATGAGTTTTCGAGTTGAAAATGTAAACGGTCTATAAGGTTCAAAGTGATACTAAAAAGTAGTACTCTTCGTCCCAAAATAAATGTCTCAACTTTATACTAACTTTAGTACAAAATTATACTCCTTTTGTTTTTAAATATTTGTTTTCTAGACATTTCAAATAGAGTATCACATACAGAGTTATGTGGATATATTTTATAGTGTAGATTCACTTATTTTGCTCTGTATATTGTCATTTGTTGTAATATCTAGAAAGATAAATATTTAGAAACAGAGGGAGTACTATTTTAAGACGGAGGGAGTATGAAATAGAAGGACCAATACTTGTGCACCAGCAGCCCATACAGATACTCAAAGTGAAACGGCCGGCCCTGAACTCGTACAAATTCTCAGAGGTCAGAGCTCATCCCGGAGCGCGCCGGCGGCTGGCGGGAACGAGGACGAGCAAACCCTGGCCTCTGTGTACACCTTCCCCGGCCGGCAGAGGTAGCCCCTCTCCGGCGCGCAGTGCGAGTCGTCGGAGCAGACGCACAGCCCTTCCATGGCGCAGCCTTCCTTGTCGACTCTCGGGCTCGTCCCGTTGATGCCGAGGACCTGGTCGCTCCACTCGCTGGAGAAGAGCCCATCGGGGTCGTACCTGCCCTTCACCTCCAGGAACTCGCCGGCCTTCGGGTACCTGCCGACGGCGCCGTCGAAGGCGAAGTTGCGGTTCTTGCCCCAGTGCGGTAGGCCGCCGTACTTGCGCAGCGCCATCTGCTCGAGCTCGTCTATGACGTCCGCGTGCGCGCGGGGCGCGCCGGCGGTGTAGCTCCGGTAGTAGGCGAGGTCGAAGTCAACCGCGTCCTCCGGCTTGCCGAGGTGGGCTGACGACGCCCTGATGTAGCGCGCGAGCAGGCCGCCCCTGGCGTCCAGGCTGCAGAACGCGCGCGGGTTGAGGTCCCGGAGGCGCTTCACGTCGGCGACGAACGCCGCGGCGTTGCGGAGAGGGACGCTGATGGCCGAGTTGTAGATGAAGGTTGCCCCGAGGCGAGGGTCCCACTTGCAGGAGGTGAGAAGCCCGTCTTCCGGGCAGTCGATGCATGCGCCGGTCGCCTGCATGCGGTGCTGGTACCCCACCACGGGGTACCCCGTGAAGACCTCGCCGTCGTTGGTGAAGCCGTGCGGCTGCGGCTGACTAGCAGGAGCCGCTGCCGCCGCCGCCGCGCACCTGGCGACGTCGGTGGCGTTCTCCTCCAGCAGCTCCTCTGCACGCCTGGCCTCGACGCGCCCAAGCGCCGGTCTCGGCCGGAGGACGAGGTGGTCGTTCACGCCGTCGCCCGGCGACGACACGTCCACGCGGTTGTCCTGGCGATACACGACCTTGCCGCGTCCCGGCTGCCACGCCACGTCGCCGAACTCGTGGAGGCGGCCCCACTCCGCCACCTGGTCCTCCAGGTCCGCGTCGTCGCGCTCCACGAATGTCACCGACCGTTTGAACAACGGCTGCAATGCCAGAGTGACCTGGGAGACGACGCCGAGGACGCCGAGGGAGACCTTGGCGGCGTCCAGGTCCGGGTGCCCGTCGCCAAGCTCCCTCACCACCGCGAACCCCCGGCTCGCCGGCGCCGGCGTCACGATCCTCAGCCCGACGACGTGCTCGTGGACGGCGCCCCCCTTGCCCCACAGCGAGCTCCCGTGCGCGCCCGTGGCGAGCAGCCCCCCGACCGTGACGCCGGACCAGTAGGGCGAGTGCGGCAGCGCGAGCCCCGCGGCGGCCGCGGCCCGGAGCAGGTCCTGGAGGACCACGCCGCTCTCCACCGTGATGAGCCGCGCAGCCACATCCAGCCTCACCGTGCCGTTGAGCCGCAGGGTGCTGATGATGGTGCCGTCGCGGCCGCCGGGACACGCGAGCTTGGGAAAGCTGTGGGAGTACCTGGTGGCCACCTTAAGCTTGCGCTTCGCCGCCGCCGCGGCCGCCACGGCCGCGACCAGCTCCGCTTCGGTGCGCGGGTAGACGACGTTCGCCGCGCGGCAGGTGGCACGGTCCAGGAAGGAGCCGTACGCGTTGGTGACCGTGCAGTCGGACGTTCCGCGGGCGCAGACCACCGGAGCCGGCGGAGGACTGGATCCGGCGAGGTGGAGGAGGAGAAGCCCCGCGAGGAGAGTCGCCAGAAGTTCCATTGCCATGCAATATGCCCACTGGTTCGGCGGTTCTCCAGATCTTAGTAGGCGTCGAGGAGACTTTTCTTTTTCTTTCCTGATTGGCAGGTACTAGGAAACAGCAGCCTGGATGCTTGGGTACATCATGTGATTTACATTGTTTTACTAGTTTATAAGTCAATTGAAATTAGGGGCCTTTTGATTCCGATGGTCGGGAAGATAGAAAAAAGGGAGTAGGAAACTAGGAATCAACAATTGTCGCTGAGCTCACTGCTGGAAAAAACCGACTTCTTCCATGTTTGCCGAGTACAGAAACACGGGATCGCGGCAAAAGCTCTGCAAGCCGAGTTCGCATCTCGGCTAATCTTACGCAGCGCCTGATCCAAAGTATGCCGAGAGCCTTTGGCACCCGGCAAATAGGTGCCACGTGGCACAGCCGTTTGTTCCACTTGTGTATGTACTTTGTTGTGCAGACTGAATCATTCCACTCCTGAATGGCGAGTATGAATTGTCGATGTGACTGTCCTGAATAACACGAGGAAGAATCAGATGTACTCCTACTCGACAAGTCATCCTGTATAACACTAAGAGCAACTCCAACACGGTGACCCAAATGAACGACGCATTTGTCCGCTTTTTGTCCGTTTGGGTCAGCCGCCCGCTCGGTGTCCGCCCTCTTTAAGATTTGGGTCGGCAGTATGCCCAACGGCCGCGACCCATTTTATGTCGTCCGCACGTAAATTTTAAAAAAGGCCTGAGGCCATAGATCATGCCAGCGGCCATGTCCTCACCCTAAGTTCATGCCGACAGCATGCCAGCGCCGGCATACAATGCCAGCTTCAGAAAAACACCACACAGTTCAGCTGGCGCACTTGCCGGCGGCCGGCACACATGCCAGCACACAAAAAGGGGCGGGAGTTCGACCACGACATCGCGGCCGAGGTCATGCCAGCACACTTGCCGGCATACAAAAAAGTATGACGCTCGCTGCCATAGATCACTCGTCGTCAAACTTGAGCATGTCGGCCTGCATCTTCTCGAACCACAGCCTCTTCCTTGGCGACACGGTGTTGAGATCCACCTTCATGATCTCCACCCCCGTCATCATGCTCGCGAGAGCCACTTCTTTTGCCTTGGTCTTGGCGTTGGCGGCCTCGATCTCTAGCATCTTGGCTTGCTTCTCAGCCTCCATCTCAAGCATCTTGGCTTGCTTCTCCGCCTCCATCTCAAGCCTCCTTCTTTGGATCTCCATGAAGGCGTTTATTTGTTCTTCCTTGTATCGCCGGCGCTCCTTCTCCCTTGAGTCCTTCTTGGTCATCATGCCCTCCACGCTTGTGATCAAGGCGTTCGACGCCGCATCCCGCTTGTCCTCCTTGGAGTTGGTCTTCCCCCGCGGCTGTGGCTTCTTGCCATCCCCAACCTCCTCCATGACCTTCTTACCCCCACGCGACATGAGGGCGGCATATTGCAAATAATATAGTGGAACTTTTGCAAAAAAATAAGTTTTTCTAAAAGGATTTTTTCGAGGGGAAACGCTGCATTTTAATAAACTAAAACACATTAAAAATACTCACACAGTTTGCACAGAAACTGCACTTTTTTGTAATATGCAAAAATGCACATATAATATTTTTTTTGCAAAATGTAAGTTTTATAAAGAAAGAATGAATTAGTGGCATTGGTATTTGATCCACGTCTCTACTTCTAAAAATCAAAATAATGAAGTCTTTTGAGACAAAATCAATTAGTGGTGTTGGTATTAACCTTTAAAAAGAGAAAAAATAAATAAAATAATGACTTTTGATAATATGAAAGAATAAGCACTTAATAGTGGAATTTTCATAAGAAAAAAGTTTACTATGGAAGAACGAATTAGTGGCATTGCTTAAAAGAATGAAAAAAGAAAATGATAATGATAAAGCAACACCAAAATAATGAACGTTCCTTAGAATGAATGAATTAGCGGCATAATACTACCGATTAAGAAGAAAGAAAATGGAAATAAAATAAAATAAAATAATGATATAATTGCACAAAATTTGCACTTTTTATAATACGCAAAAAACTGAAATTCTGGCAAAATGAATTTTGTTGGGGATTGTAGTTGTCGGTGTCAAAACCTGCGGATCTCGGGTAGGGGGTCCCGAACTGTGCGTCTAGGCGGATGGTAACAGGAGAAAAGGGACACGATGTTTTTACCCAGGTTCGGGCCCTCTCGATGGAGGTAAAACCCTACTCCTGCTTGATTAATATTGATGATATGGGTAGTACAAGAGTAGATCTACCACGAGATCAAGGAGGCTAAACCCTAGAAGCTAGCCTATGGTATGATTGTTGTTCTTCCTACGGACTAAAACCCTCCGGTTTATATAGACACCAGAGAGGGTTAGGGTTACACAGAGTCGGTTACAATGGTAAGAGATCTACATATCCGTATCGCCAAGCTTGCCTTCCACGCCAAGGAAAGTCCCTTCCGGACACGGGACGAAGTCTTCAATCTTGTATCTTCATAGTCCAGGAGTCCGGTCGAAGGCATAGTCCGGCTATCCGAACACCCCCTAATCCAGGACTCCCTCAGTAGCCCCTGAACCAGGCTTCAATGACGACGAGTCCGGCGCGCAGATTGTCTTCGGCATTGCAAGGCGGGTTCCTCCTCCAAGTACTTCATAGAAGATTTTGAACACAAAGGATAGTGTCCGGCTCTGCAAAATAAGTTTCCACATATTGCCATAGAGAGAATAATATTTACACAAGTCCAATCTGCTGACGTATTCCGTAGCGTGACATCACACCACGGCCAAGCCTTTATTCGAATCATTTTATTGTCCCACCTCAGCGCGTTTAGCGAGGCGGTTTCCTTGGCATGTCTTGTCGAAGCAGAGATCGTGTCCCCTTATTCCGGGATTCTCATCAATACGGGCGTGGGTAACCCAGTCGTGCCCGTTGGTATATTTTCTCAATCAAAGGCGAGTCCCAAACGGTTACGGGGAGGGCCTTTGGTATTCAACCTCTCATAAAGAGACCAAGGCCTTACTCCTTTCTTTCAATCTCAAACAAGTTTGACCTTTGCCTCGAGTTCCAACACCCAAGGCTCCAGATTTCAGGCGCTTCGGATCTTCGACAATGTCCGGTTCCGACCTTCGAGGCCGATGGATTCCCTCCTCCGTCACGGAGGAGGACGTACTAAAGCTGAGAGAGGCCAGGTTCTTGACCGGCGAAATCTCGCATAGGCTGCCTACTCAAGGGCAGGTCATTCCCACTCCCAAGCCTGGTGAGAGCGTGGTGTTCATGTCTCACTTCCGTCGGGGGCTAGGCTTCCAGACGGATCCCTTCGTGAGGGGGCTCCTGTTTTATTATGGGCTGGAATTTAACGACTTAGCTCCGGAGTCCATCCTCCATATTTCCTTATTCATCGTCGTGTGTGAAGCCTTCCTCCGTATTACTCCTCACTTCGGATTATGGCTCAAGACCTTCAAAGTAGAGCCGAAGATGATCGAGGGACGACACGCGGAGTGCGGAGGTGCTGTTATGAGCAAGAATGCCGATGCTCCATGGCCCGAGGGCTCTTTTCAAGAGGAGCTCGGCTTATGGCAACGAGAGTGGTTCTATATCACCGCTCCCAGGGGCACCAAGTGGGTGGCACCACCCGCCTTTCGCTCGGGTCCCCCCTCCCACAGCTAGCGTCATGGGTCAATAAAGGACTAGACTGGGGGCCATCCAAGGACGTGCCCTTGTTGCAGGGCCGCATCAGGGATCTCTTAGAAAGAGACCTCAGCCTGGTCGAAGTGACACAGGTCATGCTGATTCGCCGAATCCTGCCTGGCAAACATCGCCCCCTTCGCCTATGGGAGTTCAATCCAGAGGGACCGCGAGCTCTCCAGCATTTCATGGGCGCAACGCCCGCAGAGATGTATAAATTGTTCTTCGGATCACAAGCAGTGTGTCCGGACTTGACAGAGGACGCAGGTCTGAGCTGCAATCGCCCGGATACTCAAGTAAGTAGTCTTGTGCCCGGACTCGCTATCCGTATATTTGTCATAAACTTGCCCCTAAATGAGCTGTCCTTTAAACAGGAGTGGATAGCGAAAGCAAAGCTGATCAGGTGTCCGGCTCCCCTCCCCGAGACCACGCCGGATCCCGTGCTGGTCAGGATGTTGAAGATTGTGCCTTTGGAGGAAAGCAAGGGAGGGGACAAGGGAACTACGGCCTCCACGAAGGAGGCTGTTCGGAAGGGAGGAACTGAAAATTCCTCTCCTCAGGGGAAGAAGAGGACCGCCTCTGAAGACCCGGAGACCATGGCCTCAAAGCGGGGGAAGAAATCCTCGTCAGACGCCGGGGGATACCTCGGCCGAATTATGCCCTCAAGGGGATCAGCCCTCCATCGAGCCATAAGTAGAGATAGGTTTTCTTTTTAAGAGATGAGAGGAATCCTTGCTTTATGTCTGAGAAAAGTAACCGAAAATTTACCTTGTAGCTCAGACCTCAGCCCTTCTCAGCAGAGCTCGTCTTCGGGGGACCTTCTTCCGGAGATGATGGAGAGCGGAACGCCTCCCCCTGCCGTACCGCCTAGCGAGGCGG